CACTATTGTCATTTTACAAACAAACAAACAGGGGCACGAAAGGTCACTAATTCATACAATTTCAAATAGTTGGGAAGTAGTGAAGAAGCCAGGTATTGCAGGTTCCAAAGCCCATTTCACAGAAATACTAGGAAAAACAAGCAAGTTAGGACCTGGCCACTGCCTAGGCAAGGCATTTTACTAGTCCCTCCCCCCTCCCTACTTCATCCGCTTTTTCCTCAGTTCCTCTTACAGGTAGCTTTCAGCACACAATTTTAGAAAACTTAAAACCGATGAAACCCCTCTTCCCGCAAACCAGCTAGCTGAGGTAGTGGCCTATTAGAGGAAACCTTCCAAGAGCAGATTCGTGGGAGGGAGTGTAAAAAAATAATAGACAAGTTCACTTACTCCATTGAGTGCCTACTGCATGCTGCCATGGAATGTGATGAGGAAAACTCACGCGGTATCTGCCACATGAAGAATTTATATCCTGATATGAGGGGACCCTCATTTGCTAAGCGTCTCATTTTGCTAAGCACCAGGTACTTTAAAAAATAGTACCTCATTTAATGTAATCTTCTCAACAACCCTACGAGGGAGGTATTATTATCCCCTGAAGTCCAGAGATGTTAAGTAATTTTCTCCACAAAACCCTGGGCTGTAACAGAGCCTACAGCCTTTTCACTAGCCCACACTTTCTGACAATTCTGAGTATGCTTAGCCTACTGGAAATAATAGTGGCTTCCCCAGGGCTGAATATGACATGATCTGCTCTAACACGCAGTGCTGACTGTGAAGATACTCTCATTTCTAGGAAAGTCTGCTGAAGATTGGCTCAAAATCTGTTCTATTTCAATGTCTTTAGCATCTAATAAATACTTCAGGGTTCACAGATGAATCAGAAAGATGGAAGTTAGCTGAAATACTAGGATCAGTAGCAATGAATGTGATTTACAAAAATCAGTACAGATATAACCTCAGAAACTGAGGGGGAGGGAGTGGCATGGGAATGAAAATACAATAAAAATAACCAAAGCAATACAGCAACAACAATAAAAACTAAACCCAGATAAAAGTCACTTGTTTATATATTTTTTAAGATCCTTGAGATATCTATTAATCAACCTAGGGGGAAATTACGTGTGCAGAAAGCTATGTTATACCATGGCAGTATCTTCATGAGAGGACCTGATGCTTCTGGTTAGCTAGAAAGGAAGACTAGAAACCTGAGACACAGATACTGCTCTGATCAAAAGAAACTTACTTCAGACACACTAGGGAGATTTGTATCATTTTAAATTTTGCATGTGCTCTCAGAGTTGAAGGGTTTCCTATAACCGACCAGACAGTATTGCTGAGTGAATGGTATATTTATTTATAGCTTCCATAATGAATTCTCGTAATTCCCATTACTATCTCATCTTCCTTGCATTATTAACAATTAAAATGATAAAACTGCCAGTAGTATCATTCTTGGAAAAGGCACATGGAAGGAAGAAAACACATTTTCATTTGAAAATGAGCACCACTTGCTTCCTAAATGTAGAATTAAAAAGCAGTGTTTTACTGGTAAATTTGGGTGACCCACCGCCCCCCAAAATTCTAAAAAGACCTCTTTCAATTTAAGTCGATTGGGGGAAATTATGGGGTTATGCCATCATTACCAGGATATTATTCACTCAGTCTCCCCTTGTTTGAGGACTCAGTTTTGGAAGGACTCTCAAAAGGCAGAGTAAAAGTTGAAAAATGTTCAACTAATACTTCATATGAAAATACAAATAATTCTAAACCGCCCACATGGTGCTCAATGAAAAACTGAAGTACAGAAATATAACTTCAAGGAAGGAAGTTTAAAAAGAAATATTTCAAAGACTCAAAGAAGTCAAATTCTATCTTCAAATAAATGGGGGAAAGCATGTTAACAATTAAACATAGAAAATAAGGAAAAGTAATAATGAAGGCCCGATTTCTGCCTCCCTACCCTTTCCAATATCAAAGTTTCTAATAAGAGACTTCTTAGAGTCTGTTAATAGAAAGAGATTGGACTTGGAACTAGAAGACTGTATTAGACTTCATTTAACAAATGTTTAATGAGACTATAACTTGTTCTAGGCCCTGAATATACAGCAGTGAACAGGAGGCAGGCTGCTACCCTCAAGAAGCTTATACGGGCATTGGTGAAAAACACCCACCCAAAACTTTCTGGATCTGTTCAATTAGAGAAGTGAACTAGGTGTTTTACAGACTGTGTTCCCAAAACACCTGGACCTCCACCTCTATTTTAACCACAACAGCTCTGCTTTTTTCTGATTTCTATAGCAGGGCTCTGCAGGAAAACAAATCTGTTTTTAAAAATGTTTGATAACCGCTAAGCTAAGTGATCTCTAAGTACCATTCCAGTTTTACAACTCTGTCTTCTGTGATGCTTCAAACTCGTACTTCTGACCTATTTCTTTTTCACCGTGCTGGAATTCCACAGAGATATATTAAAAGGCAAACTAGTTTACGTGGGGCTAAAGAATCAACCACAAACCTGAATGACTGCTTAATCGTTATCTATGGGTGCCAAATACCATATAGCAAAAATTACTTTCTTCTAAGATTAACAAACAAAACAAAAACAGATTTTATCTTGTTATTTACCTACTTAAGCTACTTACTTTTACAAAAAACAAACAAAAATTAACTCTAGTTCTTTATCTTAATTTCTAAATTCCTTAGCATTTAAGGCCTTTCTGTAACTTGGCCCCTTTTAGGTATTCTTGGGTTTTCCCTCTCACCCAACACCCTTTCTGCCTCTTAGTTTCTAAATTTTGAGACTTCTGTTCATGTCCTTGAGATAGCCCTCCTCTCCTATCCATCCCTGTCAAATCCCTCAAGGTCATAACCAACTCAAATGTCACCAAAATACACGTCAATTTACAAGAAAGGCAGGGATTCTGTCTTTTCTACTAGGCTAACCTTGAGCCCCCAACTGGCAAGCATGCAAAAAATGTTGAAATGAATTATGTCAAAGTAACGATTATAAACAGCAGAAATCAAGCATCATCTATTTTTGGCTTCTAAATGTATTAACTGATTTGTTTTTACATATTTAACAGCCTGATCACAACTGATATCCTGCCATTCCTTGAGCGTTCACAAAATTTGTTAAGGCTGAGGTAAATACTTGCCACTCTAAAAACTGTACACTAAGACAATAATGCATACTCAGAAAATCAAGACACAATCCTTGGATCACTATTAATCATGGATTTAAAATATTCTAAAAGACGTGGGATCGCTTCCTAAATTATCATGTTCTAGTTCCTCCACACACAAAGCTATTCTAAAAACAAAACAAAAACAAGAATTTATATCAAGTTTACAAGAACAAAACCTGCTCACAAATAATATCTTCATGTATGTTCAGGACAGAAGTACAAAACCTACTACACTGTTCACATTCAAAACCCATAGAGTAAACAATGACCAGTGAAAGTAAAGCACGTAATACTGACAAGTATGGCTGATCCAAAGGATAAGGCTAAGCCATCACGTTTGACTTATGAAAAAAAATCAACTTCTGGTTCTCAGGATAAACGATAAACTGCAAGCTTGAAAAGTATCAGTTATAAAATTTAGATGCTGGCTGAACTGGTTTATAAAGTCTAGTAAGTTTTCATTTCACAGATTGGATAAAATAGGTCAGTCCAACAACCATTTTTAAAGAGTACCAGCAGACCTTGCTCTCTTTTACAGAGAACCAGACATATTCTTAAGTATTCAGTCCATCACTTTCGAGAGTTCTCATCTAAAATGTTATCGTCTATAAAGGGAGGCCCCCTCTCCCCCGGCCCCAGCCACGAACATTCCAAATCTCAAGATGAGGGAATACTAGAACCGATCATTTTTCAGCTGAAACTCGCGCATCCCCAAAGCCCGCGACCTTAGTATGAAAGCGCTTTCACGGTGCATTGGCTGCTGCCGGTATGAAGGCCTTGCCTCAAACAGGGCCAACTCTGGCACGTTTTTGTGTTTTTGAAAGTGAAGCTGGGGGGGGGGCGGGGAGGGGAACACCCAGATCTAAAAGTATTCGTTTAAATCCGTTTGACACCTGCTCCCTTTCAAACACGACCAGCAAACTCCAAACGCTCGAGTAGCGGCCGCAGCAGCAATGACAGATCTTGAGGCCGAACTGGGTCAGGGTTACAGTTACACTTGTGTTGCATCTTTACACCCTTTGTCTACAAACTTGGGCACTAACTTCAGTTCCCTTCCAGGCAGCGTGCTCGCCGGGCCTCAGAAATCAGAGCAATTTTCCTGAGACAGGAAGGGCACAACCCTCCCAGCTCCATGGCTACACCAGCCTTCCACGGACCACGCACTCTGCGGCCTCGGCTTTTCGCCCGGTATCTGGGCGAAGGGGTCGCCCGTGGAAACTCCCCTGCGCCCGGGCTGGATAAAAGGGATTTCACGCGGTGTCTGGTCTCCCCCTTTTCTATGGCCCCTACTCGTCCCCGTGGTTTCGGGCCCGGGGTCACACTACAGAGACAGCCCTGCTCCCTAATTCCCTGGGCCGGCCCCCGCGCCGGGCCGCCCCTCCCCCCCAGCCCCCCAAACCCCCGGGGCCGACCCCCACCTCGTGCCGCCCCCCACCCCGCCCCGGCAGCCGCCCCCCCTCCCACCGCCCTCCCTCCCGCCCCGCCCGATTCGGCCGCGCAGGCTGCCCCGCCAGCACTAGGCCCCGCGCTCCGCCCCGGCCGCCCTCCTCACCGTTCTGCTGGTGAGGCCCCGGGCCCGGGCCCGCGGGCGCGGCGGCTCCTGAGGCGGCGGCTCCGCCAAGCTTGGGCGGGATCCGGGAGCTGGCGGCCGGATGAGGTGACCCGGCGGGGGCCGACATGACGGCACTGCGGGCGGCGGCCGCGGCTCCGCTTCGGGTAGTTGGGCGGAGGGAAGGGAAGGGAAGGCGGAGCCGGAGCGGCGAGAGGAAGAGGAAGGAACGCGCCCGGCGTCACCGACGGAGTCACCCGGGACCGTGGCTGGAGTGCTCGCGCTCCGCCCTGGAGCCTAGCTCGGCCGCTGCGGGCGCCGGAACCCCTCCCGGCCCTGCCCCGCCGCCGCCTCGAGCCCCGAGACGCGGGACTCCCACCCCGCGGGTCGCTCCCGGCAGGCGCTGACTCTGCGAGCCGCAGCGTCCCCTGCAGGCGGAGCCCGGCGCGCCCAGGCCGGAGGCGGGGCGCGGGGCGGCAGCCTCCCAGCCAGCCCTGCGACCTCGGGCCCGGGCTGACCTGCTGTCGCCTCGGGGCGAAAGGGGTGGACCAGGATAGATGGCGCTGGGCCCGCTCCCACGTGGGGCGGAGGCAGGAGCGCGGCGGGCCTGGGCCGGGCGGTGCGGTGCGGGGACGGGGTTCCAGAGCTGCGGGGTGACCTCCAGAGACCAAGGCAGCGCCTGGCCGGACTGACCCCGCTCACCCTTCCTCCGAAGAGGAACCCTGGGTTTGGCTTTTTTTTTAATCTTGAGGTGTTTTCCCCCTTAATATTAAATCCTAAAGGAAATAGACATTCAAGCTCCCTGTCCGTAGGGAATTATAATCCTGGGCAAAAGAAAAAGAAATATTTTTCTATGATAAGCACAGTATCTCAATAAGAATTGAGAACTTTTCCCACTGACTTAAATCCTGGGAAAGGAAAGGGGGAAATGGAGTATAAGGGAAGCTGAAAGGCAAACTTTATCGTCCTCATGATTTTTGCCAAGAGTTGGCTCATCCTGTTGATGTTCAGAAGAGAAGCTGTAACACCCAAAGCAAGAACTCAGCGTGGTTTGTCTTCGCTTATGAAATCGTTGAATCTCTGGCCTGTCCCAGCATGTTAACTGGTAAGCAAGCCCTGGGACTGCATTACCCAAGTCGTTTTGCCATCTTGGAATCCTGAGTATGCCACAGTCATTCTGTGTTTGTTAGAAATGAAATTGTTCAAAAGCGTCGAATTCCGAATGGGATGTTGCAAGGTTGTATTTCTGGAGCGATGTCTAATTACTGAATGATTATGCCAAACATAAAGTGTGTTGTAGTCCTAGAATAATGCGAAGCTTCCCTTTAGTTGCTGCCGTGAATTAATGATACTTGGTGCTTTAATGCACCAAATGAATTACAAATAGGATTTCAGTAGTTGGATTTGTACTTTTGTTTTTGGAATTTATCTTTATTCTTATTTCCATAATTCTGATTAATTTTTCCTTTCCATGTTATACACTACACTAATAAGCAACCCAAGCAACACTTTTACATTACAATATCCAGAAGCTAAAATATACTAGTTCCTGCATGTGAAAGATGCATTAAGCCAAATTCTTAGGTTTAAAAGCCAATAATTTTGTTAAATGTAAATTTTCAGAATCTTTAGAGAAAATTACACTGTACAGATATTATAACACAATCCTGTCCTAGAAAGCAATATCCCATTAATAAAACTACTTGAATTTTTTAACATTTTAGGTAGATAATTTCAAAGAAATACAAAGTAAGAGAAAGTAGTATAATGGACCATATATACTCATCAGCCAGCGTCAACATTTGTCAGTTCAGGGCTAATCTTGCTTATCTATACTGGCACCAACATCCACTCTCCCGAGATTAAGTTTTTTTCTTTTTGGCTGCACTGTGCAGCATATGAGATCTTAATTCCCCCACCAGGGATCAGTTCCACTGCCCCCTGCAGTGGAAGTGTGGAGTCTTAACCACTGGACAGCCAGGGAAGTCCCTTCTGAGATTATTTCGAAATGAATTTCAGACATATCATTTTATCAGTAGGTATTCAACATGTATCTCTAAATGTATAACATAAACACAATACCGTTATTATACCTAAAATCATTAAAAATAATTCATTAGTATCATCAAATATACAGCCCACAATTGTCTTTTGTAATAGTTTGTACTTTCTGGGTTTTAGGATTTTCAACAATACATCATCCATCTACACAAAATGGGCAAGCACTTTTCTACAGCATTTCCAGCTTTTCCGCAAAAACCTAAGCCCCCGCATAAGCAAAAGACCACACTCTGCTTCATCGAGAATATTACACGATTACAGATTCCAATGCCGCCTTTGAAAAATGGCTCAGAGAAGAGCCCTGTATTAAGGGCTGCTATTATAAGGGTAAGGGAATAACGAGCCAATTGGCTTTCTGTCCTTGGAATGTATCCTCTTGGGCAGGGGTCCCCAACCCCCGGGCCACGGACTGGTACCTGCCGCTCCCCATCGCTCTCATTACCGCCTGAACCATCCCCCCGACCCGCTGCCTCGTCTGTGGAAAAATTGTCTTCCACGAAACTGGTCCCTGGTGCCAAAAAGGTTGGGGACCGCTGCTTTGGGGTATAAGAAGCCCATTTTAATCACAGGTATATGGACTGAAGTTGAGCCCCGTCTCTTTAGGGGAGACTCCTAAAGAAGGACGGGGACTCTGTGTTTTAACCCATCTTCCCCACAGTCTTTATCACCTAAGCTCTTTCCACCTGTCTGCTAATTCACCGTGGTATTTTCTAGCATGCTTGTAAGAATCTTTTGCATGACAGATCCTACAACCTTTATGAAGATATGTTATTTCACTCTACTAAGTCCCATGACTGCTATCGGTGAAGAAAATGAGGAATAGGATGAAGGATTGAATGAATGCTTACCATGTACCAGGCACTGTGCTAGTCACTTTAGATATATTCCCCCCCCATTTAGTCCTCACAATAACTCTATTGGATATTTTTCTTATCCCCATTTTACCAGAGGAAACTAAGGCTTATATAGAGTTCAAGTAATCTTAGTAAAAATCATGAACCTGTAAATGGCAGAACCAGAGCTCAAACCAAAGTCTGTTTAGCTCCAAAGTCTTTGCTCTATTCACTACGTAGTATACTTGATTAATTTACATTTTTCTTCATAAAGCTATGCTAATTATTATGTACTATTTTGCTTGTCAAAGGATTTTCAGTTTTACATATTTAGAATTTGTTCCAGTGACATTTAGAATGGCAAATATCAAAGTGTTTGAAATGCAAGTTCTCAGGTCCCACCACAGACCTACTGAACTCTGGAGATGCGACCCAATAGCAAGCTTTCCTGGTGTTTCTGATGCACAAGAAAATTTGAGGACCACTGCTTTGAATCGCAAAGTTAAGCTGAATTGGTTCATTCTTTTCAACATCAGGAAACGATGGTCCTTTTCTTCAGGACATTTCTCCAATCTTTTGCCAGTCATTAAAAGTGATACTTTGTTCCAGGAGCGTCAAATATGGTAGCGTCAATCTTAATTGTTTCGATGGGCAATGTGAAGATAAATGCTGTTGCCCAGTTTGTGTTCAATGGGAAAAAGTGCTATAATTGAAAGTAAGCCCTGCCACAGGTGCAGGAGGGACATTTTTGCTGAATGTCAAATTCTGACACACGTATCACTATTTGTCACCCCCAATTTAGGACTCACATTCTCTGTAACAGAAGTTGTGGGAGCCTTGGACAACTGAACACCTATTTTTATCTCAAAAAATGCTAATCCAGGTCCTTCTCTGTTGTACCTGGCTTCCCATCTTCCTCAGCTTTTTTTTTTTTTCCCTCTAGTTTTTAAATTACATGTGACCTTTGTAGAATACCTTTCCTCTTTCAGTGGCATTCCCTATTAGATGTACCTCTCCCAATATGAAGACATGATTTTCTTCTTTCCTCTCCTTTTTCTGATCTCTTTACACATTTATTGCATTTTTAGTAGGCCAGGTATTGAGGATACAAAGATTAATAGGATGTAATCTGTCCCTGAAGATCCTATGCAGGATCCTTTACATATAATCCTACTTTCTTATATTTATTTCTTGATTTTTTTTCTATAAACTTGTGTTATTTTTTTCTCACATTCCTTGTGAATCTTTGTTTCTCCTTTTTATTAGGGCCAGCTGTCCCCAACCTTTTTGGCACCAGAGACCAGTTTTGTGGAAGATAGTTTTTCCACAGACAGGGTGGGGGCAATGGGGGATGGTTCAGGCGGTAATGCAAGCAATGGGGAGGGATGGGGAGGGATGGGGAGGGACGGGGAGGGACGGGGAGCGGCAGATGAAGCTTCACTTGCTCACCCGCTGCTCACCGCCTGCTCTGCGGCCCGGTTCCCAGCAGGCCGTGGACCGGTATTGGTCCGTGGCCCGGGAGTTGGGGACCCCGATTAGGGCATTCTAAGTTGAGTTCCAGGACATATTATGATGGGAAGAAATAATTTCTCTGATGTTCATATCTTTTGATCACTTATGTTGATGTAATTTAACTATCATTTAAGTCTCAACTCTCTAAGGCAAACTAAGATCCTAAAAGAAAAAAAGAAAGGTGGGATTTTTAGGCAAATAATTACCACATAGTCAGCCTACGTGCAAAAGTGCACTTACAGAAAATTCTCTCAAGTTCTCACTTAGAATATTTGGCTATTATTTTAGCTATACCGTAATTTCTGTAGTTATCCACTTATCCAGCCCCCAGCAGGTTAGAAACAATGAATCACGAGGCAGGAGAAGGAAACACTGTTGATATAGGCACAGTGAGAGCAGCAATCACCATCAGAATATTGAAAAAATGGAAGAACTTAAATGCACAGCAGTCTAGGGCAATTAGTTAAATTGAACAACCCTGTATATTACACTGAGAATATGATAAACATAGCCCACAGGTCTCTACCATCTGAGAGTTTCTTACCTGGTATTCTGAAGGGCATTGACAGCAGGGATATACAACCCATTTTTAGAACCTTATAAACTCTTTTACATATGAACAGGTTAGGTTCCCAAAGCTCCTTGTTCATAAGTCCCAATATTCACAAATCCAGGGTAAACTCTCCTAGGCCACAAGTGTATTTCCACCAAACAGAAAAGTGAGCTTTTTTTTCCCCCCCCTTTTCCTTTTTTTTTTCTGGCTGTGCCACACAGCTTGCAGGATCTTAGTTCCCCGACCAGGGATTGAACCCAGGCCCCCAGCTGTGGAAGCTTAGATTCCTAACCACTGGACTGCCACTTTTGGGAATTCCCAAAAGTGAGCTTCTTTGAAGCTTTAGAACCAAGCTTACTCTTCTCTTTTTGTTTTGCTGATATAAGATGTAAAGTGATGCTTCTCAAAATTTAATGTGCCTATGAATCACTTGAGGATCTTGTTAAAATGCAAATTGTGATTTGGTAGGTTTGGGAAGGCCTGAGATTCTGAAATTCTAGCCAGCTCCCAGGTGATGCTGATGCTTCTGATCCTGGACCACACTTTGAGCAGCAAGGTTCCAAAGGGCATCTTTTCATTTACATTTGAAAGTCCATTGAGGGAAGGAATGCCCCTCTTTGCAATCCTAAGGGAACCTCTTAGTAGCTATAATGTATTCCCACCGTTCCTGTTGATGTACAGATTAAAATGGGTCTGGAATTTCCCTGGCTTTCTACACCAGCAGTACTTTCTTAGGCCTTTAAGATACTGAAACACCTCCTAATGGGTTAATGAGTGCCCAATGTTGACACTGATCATCTTGCCACCCATTCAACAATGTTTCCATTTTGCCAATTCCTTTTCCTCTTGCTGGTTATTGTTTGTTGTAGAAAGATGGTGTATTAGCTCAGGCGGCCGTAACAAAATACCATAGCCTGGGTAGCTTAAACAACAGAAATTTATTTTCTCACAGTTCTGGAAGCTGGAAGTCTGAGATCAGGGTGCCAGCATGGTCAGGTTCTGGTGAGAGCCCTCTTCCTGGCTTGCAGACCTCCACCTTCTCATTGTGTTCTCACACGGTGAAGGGAGAGCTATCTCTCTGGTGTCTCTTCTGTTTTTTTAAAAAATTTTTATTCATTTATTTATTTATTGTTGGCTGCGTTGGGT